TGTATATCTGTTGCCGAGAAATATTCGAGTCAATTTGTCTAATTATTTATCGCGAAATTCCACGTCCATTAATCGTAAGATTCGTATTTTCATTGTCATTATTCCTATCTTTAGTCCGTAGTTTTGATTGGATGGAAATTGGATATTATTCCGGCATATGACTTCTTTCTTACCATTTTCCTCTTGAGCTTTCCACTTGAGCGAATAACTTCAACATCCCGGTAAGATAGCCGTTCCTCTTCCTCTCTTTTTATTATGAATTTGATTCTCGTATCAATTTGGTTTAAAAACTTAGAAAATCTTTCAGTTTTTCTTTTTTATGCGACCAGATAGTCATTCAGGTACGGCATGAGCACTCTTGGTTACAGGAGTAACGTCTGGAAATCCTCTTCTAATTTATTCATGTCTACGTTTGCCAAAATAGATGAGGGTGGCGATCACATAGGAAATCCAAATATCTGTTTACAGATGCTGCCGTTAAATGTTGAATGGGTAGTTTTTGTCAAGTTTATTAGTCGTTTTAACCAATCTATTATGATCCTCTTCTCAGTCCAAGATCTCATTCTGTGCCGTTAGCGCCTTTTCTCCTGAGATGTCTAAAGCAATCTAAATATTTTGGGCTTTTGTGTGAGAATAGACCCTCGTCTAGTCTTTATTTTTGCTAAGCTCTATAGGGTTTATTTATAAGTTTTTGGTCTTATATTTACCTCTGATTCTAGGTCATCCATTTTTCGATGTTTTCATTTAACTAATGATGTTTTTATTCATTCATCCAGCTTCCTTTCTGATTTTTTTGTTTAGCGCTTTCATTTATTTATTGCGCCTATGCTAACGTATAAACTCGTGTTTTCATTTCTTCCGACGTCTTCTACTCAGGCGTCGGGGATATGGTGATATTCTCAACATGTAAGCTTAGAAAGCGTGCTCATACAATGCTCGCATCAAGCTTATCTTTATTGCTGAGATTTTCATTTAGTATGAATGTGCATGATGAATAGATTCATATTTCGATCTTACCGGAAGGCCACGGCTTTTTGGCTTTAATACGACGTTTAGGCTGACGTAGTCCACGAGACATCCTCTCTTATTTCAGATAAAAATACGCTGAGCTTTCGTCCATCATATGATCGTCATCGTCAGAGCCGGAGCTAAATCTAGCAAAAGCTTTAAATTAACGCTAAGTCAAGAAGACTGTCTGACTTTCCTACATACTATATTCGTATTAAAGTAGGGTAACTATAGTCATAACTAAGGACGAAAATATATTGATTTATATAATTATAGAATGATTTTTTTGTGCTTCATATTCATAAGGATACTTACACTCGAGTTTACTTGTCTCTTAACATATATACGCTTGTAAGTCGTTATTTTAGAAATCTTCGCTCATTTCAATATCATTTATACACATAAGTCCTTAATTAAACATACATGAGAGTGATTTAAAACTAGTCTACAAAAAGTTGGCCCCTTGTTATCATAGATTTCATTGCTCCTGACATCTTTCATCTCGTTTGAAAAGGCGGATGGAAAGGATTCGTAAATTTGCCTCGGATACCGGAGGAGGATTGCCTTAGACTGTGCGAAGAACTCGACTCACCGTACTGCGGCCCCTATGAATGGGTATTTTTGGCTCTGACAATGCCCGTCTCAATACAGACGAAACTCTGCAGGGATTCATCGGAATCGTAGGACGGTGAGCCAAAGTCTTCTTCGCACAATCCAACAGCCACTAATCCAAGGTAATCCTCCTGTATCCAGTGCGGTATACCGGCATCAACCTATTTAGGGATTCTTTCAAAAACAGTCTTTTCCTACATTGCTTACATAAGTATGGATGGAAATGAAAGTCAAAATCCAATCAAAATTTGTAGTTTTTCAATAGACTTCTCCATCTAATTAGGTTCCTTTTTTATCAATTATGACATCCAGAAAAGTTAACCTACCATCCTTTTATAATGCCATGATGAACTTAATCTTTTCTTTAATTCTAGTAATTAGCATTAGGACATTTTCTGGACTGTTTTTTTTCAATCGACAAAGTAGTCATTCATATAGTAAATCGATAATTTAGTAACTTAAACAGTTTCTTGAATTAAGCTACCTTTCAATGAAGAATATCTTTGTTGAGAGTACGTATTTTGCATATCTATATGCTTAAAATTTTACCAATACCTTAATCCTTATAAACCTACACATCTTCTTTGAACAATTAGAAATGTGTTAATTCCTTCATTAAAAGCTAATATCACTATCATCGACACAAAGGCTTATGTCGCTTAGTCTCCAAATAAAATTGCCAAGCCCTGCTTGAACTCCACGCAGGTGAGCTGATCTACATTTCATAACTTCGGCTTCTCACCTAATTTTATTCAATGTAGGGATTTTACTTAAATAATAAAGGCTTTTTCTGAGATGTGGTGCTTTCAATAATCCACTAGTTACTCGGGAGTGATTGTAGAAGACGTATTTGTCGTACTTTACAGGTAGCATGCTAATTAAGCTGTGATCGTTTTTTTCCATTGAGGAAGCTTGATTATTATCTAAAATCAAGCCATATAGTGATCTACTTTCTTTGTGATATGATTTTTGTATCTAAGTAGCCATAAAAGCTAAGGTCCCAATCGTATTTTGTTGTATCGAGTTAACTGTATTTTTTCCAACCCTGCCATTCTCCACAGTGACTTTTTCTCTGACTTCACACTCTTTAATGAGTTTGTTCCTGGATAGTTTTTGCTTGTTATATTTTGGTGTTAAATATGCTTTCTCATTGACTGACTATACTTGAAAAATCCTTTAATGCATCAATTCAGCAGCACGATATTACTGAAAAACGAATACATAGAATATGTATTATGGACCACATTATTTAGAGCCATCTGCCTAACGCAAGTAAACCATTAAAAGCGACAAAGCCATCGTTCATCTTATTTCGTTTTGCTTTCTTCTTATGTCCTGTATACAAGTTTTTATCTTGCTCATTTATTTTTAATTCTTCCCATACTGTAATATTGATGAATGGAAACAAATGATGGGTCTTAGGGAAAGATAATTAATAACCTTTCGTAGCAGTTAGTATCTAATATGTTGTTAATCCTCATTTATCCTCATTCCATAAAAGGCGTAACCTCATTGCAAATTTGAACTGATTGTAGCCTTCATTGTTGTCATTATTTTTTTTTGCCTATAAAACATTTTAACTTTTAGGTAGTTCAGCTGACCTCTGTGATGTCCGCTCTAATGACCTTCTCTTCAGTATCGATGGGCATTCTTTGGTCACTGACGATGGCAGCCTCACTAGTCAGACGATATGGCGTAGTAACTCAGGTCTAGAAGAGCTTTTGAGGGTTATGGATCGTCTCTATCTTAAAGGCCGGTCCGTTCAACTTGTCGTAATGCGGCCGTTAAAAAAGAGTGCTCAAGAGGAAACAGGTATTTTTACTTGATTTTTGCTTATAGAAATTCGCTCACTTACGTTTATATATTTGACCATGTTTTATATCTTTTGTTGGCCCAGCGTTCTTTATTACGAACTCCCCTAATATTCTGATTATATTGAGGTTGTTTGACCTTGTTTTCGCAACATGGTCATATTGGTAGGAAGACTTAGAGGAACGCACCT